TACTGAACCGAAATAAATATTAGTAAATTAATTAAACCCATTAGAACGACATTCTTGCTTTCTTGTCTACCAAAGCTGAAATTGTAATTTTATCAACAGGGGAAAACCCAATTATATATACCTGTTTCAAGTTATGTAAAATAGTATCTTTTCTGTGGCCTGGATCGCAGGTCACGCCAATAAATGACGTCTTTGAGACGTCAATCATTATGGAAAATTAACAACCGAAGAACTGATTTCTGCTCCTTCGGTCCAGTCTTTGAAAAACAGTACGGGCGTACAACATAGACCAGGAACCAAATATGGTGTCATCACAGCCATCTTGGATTTGTGATGTCATATCAAAAAGTCAAACAACATGACGAGTAGCGCTTGACCCAGTTCCTAGAACAGTATCACGAGCCATCAAGTATTTCAATACGTTTTGTTACAATCAAGTACATACATATTAATAAATAATAGAAGCAATTAGATTTTAAAGGGTGCTTGACAGCGTGGTATTAAAATATTATGATTTCGTTTTCTATTTGGAAATTCGGGGGGGGGGGGGTAGTTAATACATGAGCGTTGGATCATAAGGTCTGTCATTAGTTCAACATGGTTTCGATTCCCCGCTTGGTTCATAACGGGTTCATGTACTAGCGTCATAAACGGGTTCATGCGCCAGGCCAGCGCCATAATAGGGATTATATAGTGCCAGCGTCATAAACGGAATCATGTGTCTGCGTCATAAACGGAATCATGTGTCTGCGTCATAAACGGGTTCATGGGCCAGCGTCATGAACAGGAACATGTCCCAGCTTCATAAACAGGACCATGTGCCAGCTTCATAAACGTAGAGCCACAGTGGCTGTTTCTTAGAGTAGAACAACGATAACGGTTTTCAAGATAGAGCAATATACGAGCTGCAATTTGTGTCGTATTTATAAAAAATTACATTTTAGTCTCAATGGGATATCAGTATTGTGTTGACCAGACGTGTAACACCATTCGGCCCTTTCTTCTCTTCACAGCGCAAAAGGGACCTAAGTAGATTTTCTATCGTTGACGAATTTTCATTGGTGTGCGATGAATTATGTAGACTGCTATATTATCGCCGACATTATGTCTGCTGTAGGCGTATTATCGTTACGCCTGTAAAATATTTTCAAATACACGCTTTGATAATAATAGATGCAGTATGTAAGATTTAGATAAAGGGCCGACAGTTTTTGCTATAATAGTTTAAAACTAGATAATGAAAAGGAAATGTTAAAAATTTCAGTAAAATTATTTCTTTCTGAGTGGAGGTTATCGTCGTTGGAAGAACAGTGTAGTCTTGATTTTCATTGCTACCGTTGTTACGATAATAAACAAAGTCTCGAATATCCATTTTTAAATTAAATCATTTAATGTCAATCCTATTTAAATCTGTTGAAAATCAAAACCATAAATGTCTAATTAATGATTTATTTTACATTTGAGCTCAAACGCATTAAGCAGATTTAGCCCCCGAATAAGTGCATTCTTAAGCCTGTAAAAGATGCCACTATGTTTAGCTTTGCCTGGACCCCTACAGTCGACAATGAAACAACTGCAACGTAAAATCGATGTGATTTACCCGACAGACTTTAACCGACGAGAAATCAGATCGTCGGCGACAAATTTATAATCCGTAGTGTGTGCAGGTCTTTAGTTAGCTTATAATTAACAGCCAACTACAGTCGTATTATATTACTTGTTGTTACAGTAAATTATCGAAATCAAAACCATTAACATGACATAGTATGTGTAATTAACATGATAATTAACGCTATTAGATGTCCATTATTGAATCTATTGGGAAATCTAAGATATACATCATCCTCTTTAGACTGAACAGAAATGGAAATCAAATGACATGTCTTTTTTTTTTAAACTCCACCCTTTCTGCAGAAAATGGGCTAATGAAGACATGCATGCTTCATGCGGAAAGGTTTGATTGCTCTTCATCGAATTCGTTAACGCATGTGCATTGGATCCTATAGGGGATCACGTGGCTAAGTGGGTAAGGCGCTGGCTCGCTAGCCTGGAGGTCGGGTGTTCGATCCCTGCATTGGCCGAGAAAGTTCATCTCGATTTTCCGGCGTGGTTTCCCCTTGTCAGTGATGCAGAACGGAGGGCCTGACAAGGACAGCTGCCTAGTCGTTCGGATGGGACGAAAAACCGAGGTCCCGTGTACACATTGGCGTGCACGTAAAAGATCCCTTGGCAGTTGGAATTCGATATAAGAGTAGGCCGTAGCGCCGCTGCCCGGGCAAAATTTCCCTCATAGCACACTGTATGGCGTATGCCCGTCTTCAATTAGCCCAGGTTAGGTGCAGAATAGTAGGACGTTAAACCCCATTTCATTTCATTTCATTTTGGATCCTATAGTCTGTCATGGAGTCCAGCGGCGCGCTTTCGATTCCCCGCTTGTAGGTGACAAGGAGTATAGGGTCGCCTATCCAACCTTCTCGTGGTGGAGCAGTTTCCAAAAACTCGACTTTGCGTGAAAGTCTATCATTCAAATCCATGTAAACCTGATGTTCATTTCTTTTTTTATTCAGATTGTTCGAGACGCATCCAGATTTCCAGGAGACGTTTCTACCATTTCGTGGTTTATCTAACAGTGATATGGAGAACAGTCTCATATTAAAGGCCCACGCTCTCCGAGTTATGATTACAGTAGATAAATGTTTGACAAGACTAGATTCACCTACTAGACTTGATGATTTACTTAAAGGCCTGGGACATCGTCATACATCATACAACGTTCACATAGACTATATTGACGTAAGTAGAGACTGATGTGACGCTCAACGGAAATTTTAACCGGTTTAGAATATTGAGCAATAGTGGGGGAGATGTAAAGCCGTTGTTTTTTTGTTTATTTTTTTGTTTTGTTTTTTTTGTTGTTGTTTTTTTTGGGGGGAGGGGAAGGGGGGGGGGACATCTAATGCTTCACTGCTTAATTCACACCAAAATGCATTTTTAAAGAACTTGAATAATTAACATTAAATCAAAAGGAAGCAAAACCAACGATAAACTCCCCGGCTGACTTTCAAACTATTATATGTTCGATTTTGGTTCATTAATTACAAAATGATGCATTGCCACATTCGGCATTATCTGTAGACGATAATAAAGCTAGTGCTGGGAGAAATATTTTGATTGACCTCTTTTATGGACCAGGAACATGGTCGCTAACCCCTACTCATCTTGCTCTTCTTCTTTGGGTGATGCTCTTCGAAAAAGCCATAGGCTCCGCCAGTTCAAGTCCGATCGACACGAATATTTGCTTCGCCAATTCCTTGTCCATTGCTAGCACCCACCTTAAAGATCGCTATGAATGTATGTTTTCAAATTGGAACAACATAATCACAAATGAGACATGCCTATTATAGTCTAACAGTAGGAGTTCAGATGCCTTGCTATTAAGGCAATCTTGTAAGTTGACATATTACCAATAATTGAGCTAATAAACCCGAACAAGCTTTTAATAGTAGCCTACACCAGATTGTCAATACAACAAATTAAATATAACATGACCTTTACCTTAACAATATTGTTACATACTATATTTTTGTCATCTTCAATCTTATTGAATTGTACAAACTTCCACATTTGTCAACCAATATAAAGACAGCTTATAAAACGACCGTATGTAGGTATTTTCGACCCTTGCTCATAAACTGCCTGACGGACATCTACTAAATTTTGCAGTTACCAGTGTGTTCAGATTAAGTCGTTAGAACCTTACTGTGTGTGGGTCGTGCATCTTCATATTCGTATACGTTGGTCAGGGCAAATTTATACATCATAATTGATAATCCCGGCCTTTGCATTCATTGAAGAAAGTGGCTCAGTGAGAAAGGCGCTGGCTCACTTGACAAGAGGTCTCGGTTCGATCCCGCAATTGGCCGATGACGTTCTTTGGGATTTCCTAGCGTGAATTGTGTAAAAAAGGGATGTTAACCACTATTTGTTTTCATTCAGATAATGCGATATGCTTACAATTTTTTTGTTTGACTTATGGACGATTAAAGGACATTAGGCCTCTTTTTTAAATAGGCTTAATTATTTAAGACGTCTTCAACATTACCAATCAATTCGCATGCCATCTATCCTGGTTTTCTTTTCAGATGATGGGAGAACAGTTTATTAAAGCCATCCGACCAAAATTTGGAGACGCATGGTCATCAGAGTTGGAAGTAGCATGGACGGGATTATTTGAAGTGATGACGTACCACATGAAACGTGGAATAATACAAGAATAACCCATCCAGCAAGTGCAGTCTTGTTATCATTCCATTCATACAACGATTTAGCTATAATACAACCTGACAAACACATTACGCAACTGTAACGTTGTGGTTAACGTTAGACGTAGAAGCAATTAAATAAATACGACAAAAATTACTTTGAAATGTTTTGTATACAACCACAACTTGTGTAGCTATACTCCATTTGATACAGGTGGGCGAAGCTTGTCTATTTGACGCCGGAGAGGGTGGGGGAGGGCTAATGTCTGACAAAGCTGTTCCAGGAAATACGAGATATTCTAGAGCAAATACATTGTGTCGTTTTTGTATAAAAAGTTATCATGCCAAGTGGAGGTAAGCGAAAGACATCCTAACCTCTTATGATTTGTGTAACAATTTTGCCCCCGTCCAACATACTCCTGATCTAATCAAGAGTTAATATATAGAATTTTATGTATTTAACAATCGAGAATAGAGGAATTGATGGTGCAGCTTGGTCTTTATCCATTCTAAGATTATCAAAGTTCTCTCACTTTGATCATCGTGGGTATTACAAAGCCTTTCGGATACACTATATACAGCCCTTTATGATTTAAATAAATCCATGCAAATGTGAAATATCGAATCCGTCTAAAACCAATCCCATTTATCTCTATTTCGCCGATTGTCTCCCTTTCATTCAAATTAAAAGTACACAGAAATTAAAAAAATGTTGTTTTTTTATGTTTGCCTTTATTATTCGTTTTATACAAAGATGTTTGCTTTATTTATTACATGCACTTCTATTACAATAAACATTATAAGGCCATTTTGAGCTCAATATGCTCTAAAACCTGGTTACAACTAAAAATATCTACATACAAAATTAAAGAAGAAAAGCGTAAATAGTACAATCATGGTATTCGCGCTTTCTTCAAGATTCATATACACCAGATAGTACTATAACAAATAATGTCTTTAAATTAAAGATTCAGATAAAGGATAATGTTGGTGTCCACTGCACTTCCGTCGGCAATAACACATAGTTTCCTATGATTGTTTCACTCCCGGAATCATCAATCATAGCAAAGATTGCTATGCTAAAATTATATTTGGAATGTGTTTAACCAGTCTCATCATATGTTAAAGTGGTGGACACCAACATTTTTCATTAAGAACTGCCGTTAATTGGTTTAAGTTAGATACTGTTATAAAGCTGAAATATGTTGTTAGGCGGTATTGTAGAAACGGACATGCATATTGAACATAAATTACTTGGATGCTTATTTTTGGCAAAATTTCGACGAATGTACTGGTTCTCACATCTTTATCGGGAGGAAAACCTATCTATGGGATAATCGACATTTTAAAAATCTCATCTACATTTTTAGATATCCCGTGGACATGGATTGTGTCACATTGTATGTGTGTGATATAATTAATGTTATTCTTCTGCATGTATATCATCCAAACATCATATGTTTATTATATTACATATTGCTGCTGGCAGGTTCATATATAGATTTGAACCAGGAACTGCATCCACACTCGCAATCTTGTGACGACGCTCAATAAAAAGGCCCAAGGTTCCGCCAATTACAGTACTCCGAAATCCTGCTTCACAGTATGGTCGTACTTATTACTAAATGTTTGGTAATTTTTATGGCTAGATACAAGTGAGATGGGAATTTAAAGTAATCTCAACACTCCCCACACCTCACAAGGAGTAACATATACATTTAATTTCAATAATTCGCTTGTGCGTAGGGCTATTTACAAGCTTGGCGTCAAAACAACGCCACTTGGGTCAATGGCAAACCAATCGATCACCCCACACACCCTATTTTGAATGTCGATTGGACTAGCAAAGCAAAGAACTGATGTTTAATTAAGACTTTGTGGTACTGGAAATAGCTTGTTAACCATGGCTAGTCTGCTATTATTAACAGCCCACGCGCGAATATTTTCCCCCATTGCAATGGATTAATCATGTAAGACACGGGACAATGTTTTCCCGGGAAGTAAGCAATTTCCTGATCATGAATAACACGCATGCGTCGTACACTGTTTTCTATTTCCGCAATCATCAGAGGCCCACACCTTAAAAAAAAAACCCCAAAAAAACCAACTGCCCCATTAAGAACTGATTGCCTACATTCCATAAGGTAATACTTATGCCTCACGCAGGTTTTGATTCATTATAATTTTATGTCGAATTCCCAATCTGCTTAAATCGTAGACTCTATTACGTTTCGTTTTTTTTAATATTCAAATTTCATTTTGTTTTCTTCACTTCAGTGGAATCTGAAAAGTTAACCTGCCATAAAGTGGCCATCGAAAGTTGAACAAAAATCGACTGTCAGATCGACTGGATTCCAGGAAACAACACTGATAGTTCTCTCCCTTTACCCTTGTTCATAACGTTAACAGTTTCCCAATCAAGCTGAATGCAATTGCCAAAATGATATCATTAAAAACAAAATATTTGTTAGGATTTGGGAGACATTGAAGACGCCACTGACTACCCTTTCAGCATGAACGAAACTCAGCATAATAAGATTACCGCATAGCGTAATGCAGAGATTCTAGTATTTCGGTGTCTTTTGTAAGCTGAAGAAATTTGCCGTAGGTTACACCACGTTATGTGGTGAGTCAAGCGTTCGAATTCAATCCTGTGTAAACTCGAAAAATGTATTTGTACTTGGACGTATTCGATGTTATTTATACCATACTGGGCATAAACTAAAGTTGTGTTAAAGATAAATTAATCACATTAATCAGATGTTTATTAACCTAACAAGACCATATTTAACTCTCGATGCCATCAGATGCTCGAGATTTTAACTAGAAGTCTCGGCGATTTAATGATTTAATTCAAAAATACAGGTCTTTCTTGAGGCCTTTCCGTTTAACAGAACAAGACCATAATCAACTGTCGATGCCATCGGATGCTAGATCTTAACTAGATTAGAACGATTCAGCCATTTAATGATTTAATTTAAAAATTGAAGCTAAGTCTCGAATATACCAGTTCCGTGGTTACGATAATATACAAGCAATGCACACATCTTGTCAAAACTACAAATAGTGATAACTTGTTTTAGAAATGAAATGAAATGGGGTTAAACGTCCTACTGTTCTGCTCCGACTGGGCTAATGAAGACGGAACATGTTTCAGAATATAGTAATTTGAATGAAATTTTTAACATATTCATTTTACATTATCTGTTTTTGACCTATATATATATTATAGCAAGAACGGCCAGCTCTTGATCTAAATCTTACATAATGTATCTTTAGTTGTTTGAATCCATTTCGATATGGTTATTTTGTCTAGGTTTAACTTATAACTAAAACATTTGGTGAAATGCTCTGGAAGCGGATGCAGACTACTGAATGAACAGAATTAACGGCACTCAAGTTTTCAAGTGGATATATTTGAGTCAGTTTCCGTTTAAACGGATGTTTTTATAACACTGAAATGTTCATTAGTGAATCTTGAAATCGACAGGAATTTTTTTCAGATACAGCGGAAACTTTTAAATCTAGATAAATCACCCCGTCTCATTTATTTCCGGCATCAAATACAATAACTCCTTTATATCTTCATTGTCGACTGCTCAATCTTTTCTGATCTAAAGTTTTTAATCCCACACAGACATTATTGCACGCTATACAACAACAATGTGACAATCGATAATGATTCTAAGTCACATTTTATAATAATGTAAAATAGTTTTCATAGAATCGAATCGAATCCCGTATCTGCTAAAGGGATACACGATTGTTAATCTGAAACGGTCCGAATGGACAGTACGGTGGAATTACACGGAATTCAGACCCGTCACAGTTCTTTCAATATGTGTCAGTCAATCTGATTAAAATACAGATCTATATTCCGTTTTTTTATACTTTCGATGGCCTCTACTACATGAAGATCTTACCGGTTGTAGTGGAAGGTCGCTTCGGGGTTCATACGAGCGACTTTTGACCCCATGACGTAAGACATTGATTAATCAAACCACGTTGACGTTTCTAGTGGTTTACCCACATTTCCGTGCACAGCACGCCAAGAACTCGCCGTAATAGACCGTTTCATTGGCTAATCCCTCACATCAATCAGAAAGTGGGTTATATCACACCTCTTCCAGATCCTAGTGTGGTTAAGACAAGTAAAACGAAATTTTGTACTATAAAAAACGAAACGAAATAGGATCGGTGTTTTAATCAGATTGTGTGTGAGTAGAATCGTGATGTAATTTTAAATATGTTTCGGCTGTTGTGATTGGTTGAAATAATTTGTATCAACTGATTGTCGCTATTCGCTAAATTGAGGGAATTCAATCCCGGAACGTCCAATCAGACATTTCTTTACTCCTTCTGTAACACCAGTTCTCAATTAAATTAAGAATTTCACGACCACCATTTTTTTCTATTGTTCTTTTATATAATGAAACACTCAATCAAATAAGTTCTTTTAAATAGACACAGTGGCGTGTACGTAATTGCTGTCAGGGTAAAATTTCCCACAACCCACACTGCCATGGAGTATGCCCGTCTTAATTATCCAGGTTGGAAGAGAACACTTGCACGTTAAGCACCATTCTATTCAGTCATTCATTCCTACATTGTTCAACTTAACCGTAATATCTTTCACGCATTAATATTGGGTCCCTTGGTTCATTAAATGTATCCCAATAGGGCTATTACAAGATTAATTTTAACACTCCATTTAAGGCAATTAAATCGAAAATAATAGTCCCTGGGGTAAATGTCCGTTTCCACCTAGATTAATATCGTAACCTAATGTATTGTTATTGTTAAATGCGAAATGTAACCTTGTTTATTTTCCGGAACGTTCCGATATGACGTAATTACAATCGACCGGCATGGAATTCAGCCTTGGCGTAGTTATATGACTGGCATGGAATTCAGCCTTGGCGTAGTTATATGACTGGCATGGAATTCAGCCTTGGCGTAGTTATATGACTGGCATGGAATTCAGCCTTGGCGTAGTTATATCAGTCTCAATAACCGAGGTAGTGTGTGGGTACAACTGTCATGTGATGTGTATGAGGCGTTATTGGAAAGCTCAGTCGAGTATAGCCTATATGATTCGAGTTATATACATTTTCATTAAAAGATTCTGAATTTAATAAGCTCCCTCTAGTTTCCACAAAAAAGCTCTCACTAGCAGGCACATATTGATAGACAGGATGGTGATTGTTTTATATAAAGTCCCTGTCGAATTAAATGGAATGGAATATTATTCTATTGTTTTCGATGATCAAACGTCAGTAGCACACTTGTCACATTCTTGTCAATCAATCAGACGTCTCGACAGTCGGCCAATATGACGAATGATACACGTCACTTCCATCCCTCTTTCATATAATACGTCATCAATTTGAATAATTGAAACCACGCCTCCTCCGTTTCCTTGTTCCAGTCAGCTTCCATACATTTTCTGATGGCTTGGACGAAATGCGGACCCATTAACTAAAATAAAAAGAGAACATAAAAATCTCCTTATTATCATTACATCAGATGGGATATGCTAGCATAGCATCTGTTATTTATAACCCCCCCCCCCCCCCCGACCCGACCCGACCCGACCCGACCCCAATATATCCCCACAACCTTATCGGGATTTCGGTCGCGCCGATATACGCCTAGGCATAAATGGAATTCTCTGTATTACGCAGAGATTCGCCCAAAGACTTATTCATCCCGGACTTCACTTGTTGCCTGTAGGGATGGTGGGATATTCTAGCATAGCATCATAGGTTATTTGTTCATACCAACGATTCGCTGAGTGCGCTAATTGTAAATTCTTTCAAGCGCAGAGGATCAAATATTTGCAATTGGAAACTAAATTATAATCTGTGGAAATCTAATTTGTGCAGTTTATTAACTTAAATTCCAAGGAATTTCAAATTATATTTGAGCTCAGTCGGTTGAGTAAACCAAGATTTATTTAGCAAGTCACATGCCCTGAGTTTACAATTGAAACTGCGAAGATATCCACCACGCCGAACAGCAGTTCATGTTCTGCAAGCAAAGACGCTCTGTGTTGTTTTTATTTGCATTCTCAAAGATAAAGATGTATGGACATTGTAATATTAATAAACCGGAAACACCCAAAAGATGCCCCAATTATCCCTGAAAACTCCCCCGCTTAGTTACTTTGCTCGTTTAAAACGAATGCTGAATAAATTATAAGAAATGGGTTTTAAGGCCCTACTGTTCTGCTCCGATTGAGCTAATGTGTGCTATGAGAGAAATTTTGCCCGGACAGCGCCGCTACGGCCTACTCCTATATCGAATTCCAACTGCCAATGTATCTTCTACATGCACACCGCGATTTTCGTCCCATCCGAAGGACTAGACAGCAAATGCTGAATAGATTTCTCTATGATATATTGAAATTTTTACGTACATCGATATTTTCTGGAACGGCATCGTATTTTAAATGTCTTTGACCCAGATTTTTCATGGTTTCTTCTATTTTATCTAATTCGTCTAATCTGGTAACACATTTCTCTACCATACTCATAACACGTAAAGCATGGGCTCTTAGCAACGAACTTTGTCGCAAATCCGCAATAGGTACACTTCGGAATGACACAAACATATGTTTTACTTCCGGGTTAGCTTCAAAGAACCTGAAAGTAGACAGTATCATGTTTATAATGTATATATGAAAAATTTCACTGGGCAAACATTCTTAAATGAAAGTAGACAGTATTATGTCTATAATGGATATATGAATTTTTTCACTGGACAACCATTCTTAAATGAAACACCTCGTAATGACACAAACATGTGTCTCACTTCCGGGTTAGCTTCAAAGAACTGAAAGTAGACAGTATCATATTTATAATGCATTTTATCTATCAGTGAAAACATAACACACATATATGAACAGTTTTACTGAACAACCATTCTTTGATGACTCTAGTGTCATCCATGTGATAACATTTTTGGATAGGACGATTCACCCAATTCTGCCCAATACTAATTAAATACTACCACATACTATCGCATGTAGTTGAATAATAGACAAAAAGTGGGCCAATGCGTGGAATTAGCTAAACATTTTCAGGATAAACTGGAAAAGTCTATTTCTATAGTATCAGTACCCACCCGTTAGCTCAAGCGTCTGAAAGACTAGCCATATATATATTTATAGTTCTTAACATAATGTTGCCTTACTACGCACACATGCTAACCAACAGCAGGTTTGGGGGTGTTTTAATACTTTATAGGTCAATAACACGCATATAATTGATGGGTTACGATATGGTTCTCGTTTACTAGTAGACCAACAATTCTGAAAAATGTTCACATTCAACGATGTTTCGGTGTCAGGGACATTAACTCTGCACAAAACTGAAGGAATAGTCTCAATTTCGATGGAGTTTCCATTTATGATTAGACAAACAATCTAGAGGGGTTTGAAAAAAAATAAATCTAAATAAAGCCAAACCAGTGTCTCCATGACAGCGGCGGTAGCTCTACGATGGGTTTTTCCTTAAGACTAGCCTCACTATCGCAAGCATTTTGAAAATAAAATGACCTGCGATCATATTGTCAGGAGGTTAGAGGCGAACATGATGCGCACATAAAAAGTTGGCGTACAAAAATGAATGTTCATATTTTCTAGAAATATATTTAATAATAAATATATTTAATGAATTTAGAGTGTTCACAAGTTTTGTGAATCAAGGTTAATAACTCTGAGTCACATTAAAATGGGCGAGTGAACCATTATACAGAATAGCAGTCTGGCCCTACAAGTTAAGGAGCTGCGATAGCTCAGTGAGGTTAGTGCTTGTTTGCTAACCTGGAGGTCCCGCGTGCTTTCCCGGTGTTGGCTGAGAAAGTTCATCAGGATTGCCCGGCGTAGTTCTCCGCTGTCAGTGGTTCAGGTCGTACGGATGGAACGAAAACCCGAGGCACATTGGCATGCACATACAAGAATCGACAGCTGGAAAGCGAAATAAAGAGTAGACCGTAGCGCTGCTGCCTGGGTAAAGTTTCCCGCATAGCATAGCACACTTCATGGCATATGTCCGTCTTCATTAGCCCGGATGGAACAGAAAAGAATGACATTAAAAAAAATTAATGTTGTTTCCTATAGCTAAACAATTGCTATTATCTTTAGATTGAAAAACCTTTTTTTTTAACCTGAAAGCAACTTGACAACACAATTCCATTACTATATACCACTCACATTATGTTCATAGATTGAATTTATGGTGATAATACTCTATTAAAAGGATATCATGTAACGTGAAATTAAAGATTTTTAATGTCTTGGTGAAAGCAATATTGTCTTACATCTCAATTATATTTCATTTGATCACGCAAATTAATACTCTCTGGATCCTACAATTTATCTACTGCAAATAATCTTGATGCTTTGATATGACAAATGTTACATGTAACAGCGCCATATCACGCGAACTTACTCTTCATACACTGTTCAAACGAGAAGTTCGTGGTTTCGCCGTGTCTCCGGAGGGATCGTTTAAGTATGTAAATAAAACGCCAAATTATTGTGGTGAGATAATAGCATATTAATTGCCTTGTCTGCCACTTGCAGATTAAAATAAAGAGCCGTTTGGATATGATCACCAAAACAGTTTATAGGTGATATTTTCCTACGATGTCAGTGATTTCACAGGAAATGAAATGGGGTTTAACGTCCTACTGTTCTGATCCTACTCGGCTAATGTAGACGGGCATACGCCATACAGTGTGCTATGAGGGAAATTTTACCCGGGCAGCGGCACTATGGCCTACTTATATATCGATTTCCAATTGCCAAGGGATCTTTTACGTGCACGTCAATGTATACACGGGTCCTCGGTTTGTCATACCATCCGAACGACCAGACAGCTACTGATTTCAATGGAATGGAACGGATTGGAATGGGGTTAAACGTCTCGTCAATATAATATTTCGGTCATTTTGGGACAGCGCTTTTACCTTTTTGTCTTAAAAATATCTTTACGCACATTTTGTCTTTTATTATTGTATCTTGTCGCGTTATATACTGATATTATCGCGCTGGGTATTTGCGGAACAACTGACAGCCTTTACCTTTAAAGAGACAGGCCGTCTCGTGGTGAGTTGTCTTGACTAAAAAAAGTATGAGTTTATCATTCTGTGTTAATTTCCCATGTACTGTTGTCTTTGTCTATGTATTTTTGTGCAGCTGCCCTTTAGTGTGTTGATAATCAAAGAACATGTGTTAATGGATTAACATACAGCTATAAATAACGTTGATATACGTGTAATATTAGAAATGTCAGACAATGAGTAACACCCACCCTAAAACATAACACACTTTAAAGCCGAAGTAATAAAATTTTCCGAGCAAAGCGCTTATCATGCGTATTTCGTATGCATTCCCTAAAATCTTGTTTTCCCATCTTACAACGGGACTATCCCCAGGGCACAGATAGTCACACTCTCTTAACAAAGACGCGACGTTGCATCTTTCTCAGATAATGAATGTTAACGAGGTTTTGAAAACACCTGTCAGACATAGAAAATTGTAGTTTTTACTAAAACTTTACATATTCACGTGGGTGAGTTGTTTTTAACAATTGTTGTGGTCGGAGATAACTACGAAAAAACGTACTCGCGTTTTCCAGTACTTTGCAGCGTTACTAATATTCCGAACGCATTGTCTGATTCTGGTTGGCGCATGGTCGAAGGCATCAGCCAAATTTTTAATAGACTGGCTCCTGAAAGTTTGTCTGCGATATCTCCCTCAGTGAAAGCGGACGTCAAGCCTCACGAACTAACTCAACAGTTATGATTTTTTAAGTTTGTTCGCTATTCGATCTGCACGATAACAGTCTTATATTAGAAGATATGATTGATTATTGTCCCCCACAATAGAAAATCGCTAGGGATTTTGCTCTCAGAGTTTGATTAAAAAATTTGAAACATTAGCCTGTGGTGTTAGTGTTTGAATCGATTAAATAAACACAAATGCAACCTAATCATTGGCGTGCTTGGCCAGATAATTGGTGAGACGTATATAATCTTCGGATTATATTACAGATTAATAATATAATTCTACTGATAATTTGTCGATACTATACAAACACATACTGTATTATTAATGGACTGCAAGAAATGAAACTTTTTTTCCCATTTAATCCTTTGTAAGGAGAAAGATTCATAAGCCAATAAATAAATCTTAAAAATGAAATTAAATGGGGTTTAACGTCCTACTGTTTGTTATCAGCTGGGATAATAAAGACGGGCATTCGCCATACAGGGTACTATGAGGAAAATTTTGCCCGGGCAGCGGCACTGTGACCTACTTTTATATCGAATTCCAACTGCCAAGGGATCTTTTAAGTGCATGTCAATGTATACACGGGACCATCCGAACGACTAGACAGCTGTCCTTGTCAGGCCCTCCGTCCTGCACCACTGACAAGAGGAAACCAACTTTCTCGACAATTTAGTCTTAAAAGAAGATAATATGTACCTGCTCGAGTTTACGAGATTTGGCTAAGAGTCTTGTAGCTGAGATCAGTACATGCTGAATTGTCTGATTTCTATGGTCTATAACTTAATCTATGAACCGTCGTAAATTTTAAACGGGTTCCTTCGATTGTGAAAAAACTACTTATAAATGCATATAAAAAACATGTGATGAGTTTGAAATCACTTCCGGTTCAACAAAAGCCATTGTACGATTAAAAAGGATTGAAAGAGGATGAGATTTTTGTTATTTCTATAAGAATGTATATATTTTGATCAATAATTTTGTTTTAAAGTGGAGATAGCTATAGTCTAACATCGTAGTTTTTATATGTGTATATTACAAAGCAAATGAACGAAAGGAGACTTCTTTGGGGTATTTTGGCATTTGCAGAAAATTGGTTTAATAACTGCCGACTGCTTACTTGCTGGAGAATTACGATCACATTTCACGCGAGTTTAGCCTTATTTCCAAATAGATTTTCAGATGACGAAATCCCTATAGATAATTAATTGTCAGATTTTCACAGATTAGAGTTGGATAGATAGCCACTGAACTGAATAAAGCTGATTGTAACTAAATTGAATTGACCTGATAATATCGTCTCGTGTTCCATTAAAGAGACATTACCATTTTATAGGCCAGGGCTAGCTGTTATAAAAACATTTTCTATTTAACATGATTTGACTAATGTGGTCATTACCGAAAAGCAATCCATGTTCTGTAACACAACTGGGTGTCGTTTTGAAATCACTGCAAATAAACGACAAACTCTGCATGGTTGGATTTTTATTTTTAGAGAGATTTTCAGTAATTTGATCATACAAATACACCGTACGTACGTGTCCAAATTAGACTATATTTAAATTTTGAGGCAGATTTGTTATTACTTGTTAGTTTATTAATTGTCATTTTAATTGTCGATTTACGGGTCATACAATTTTATCCCATGATGCTAGAATTGTACGAGGTTTAATCACTACTCGTGTTCTCTACTTCTTCATCTTGTAGACGCGTTATTTTGCAAGCACTTTAGAAATTTAATCTTCGCTTGTGTTCTTTTCTCCTCTTATTGTTGCTTGTCACAGTTAATGACCGCAACTTGTCAAAGCTCGCCGAAAACAAAGAGCTTGTTGTAGATCATCCTCTGTA